TTTACACTCATCTAGAAATTAGTAATACTCTATTCAGAGAACTTTCATCTGTTGTCCAGTGTTTCAATACAAAATAGTGCTATAACTGATAAATAAACAAAGAATAAATACAATCCAATGATAAGAGGTCAGATAACAAATTTAAAATATAAACATCAAAAAAAAAATTTCGCATTTTTAATACTTGATATGCACTCTTTTTCAAGAACTTCTCTAAGAAAATATGTGCACTTTCATCTTCATTTTATCCTATCACTCTATAATAAAAAAATATTTTTTTTTAATATTTGTAATAAAGATTCAAGTATAAAAATAACAAAGTAATAAATATTTACTATTAGCTTTGCTGAAAATATTGTCAAAAATTTTGACACTTTGTCCCTTTCTTAGGCATATGTGACGTCTTCGTTTGTTAGGCTTTGAAACCTACCCTAATCTTTAGATCATAAGTCTTCCCCAAAATGTATGAGAGAGAGACAGAAGGACATATTAACAATAAAACAAAGTAAAAATTTAAGCTAAAATAAAATAAAAAAATTTGGAAGGGATAAAATGCTGTGAAAAAAATGTTTATTGACAAGAGTGAAGAGAAAGAGAGAGAAAAATTTCTGGAGTGGCTTTTTATATAAATTTGTTATTCAATTATGTCATCATGAGACAAAAGAGATGACTCATAATTAATAGTCCCGATTAGTCTGATAATATTTTAGCTGATCAAGTCCGCTTATAGGATTTTTAGTTGTACTGCGGTACTGTAGGTCACCGGCCCAATATGGAACTATGTGTTTAATAATTATTTATTTTAAATAAACCAACCATTTTTAAACGTAAAAATAATATATTATTAAAATAAAACAAACTTGTAAACTTAAAAATCGCGTCTCAGACGTCCCATGTAAACAACATTCAGATTTACAATTTTTTTTGTAACCGTCCTAGCGTTATTCACTGACACGTGAAAGTGAAAATAGTTTGACATTCCAGAATTGTCAAATTCAGATAAGGATTCATTTACTTCGTCTTTTTCCACTTCATCATCGTAATTGATCTCTGCAAATGATTTCTTATTTTTTTCCATCTGTTCCATATAATACAAGTACTTTTCCACAAACTTCTCCGGTCGTGCAGTTAAAATAAAATCTTTATGGTCGCTACGCTTAAAAAAGCATTGAGTTTGCATCACTTTATTCATCTTGATTTTCTTATCAATCCTCAATCTTATTATCGTAACTGTTTAGCAACTTCTTTCAAGGAACTTATCGAAAGAACTCTATTACAAGCACGCCTAATATTCAATAACTAGGTGAAACTTCAACTCACTTATTGTGAGGTTGTTTGTCTTCCTTTGTAACATGTTCTAATTGTTTCTGAATATCTTATAGTCTTCTAGAAGCTTGTTTCTCTTCTTTGATTTGTAATAATTCGGTATGATAGTCTGATAAGTTCTGTTGATCTCCAATTTCAAAAGATATTGTAGCTGATACTTTTACTAAACAAATAATTCATTCTTTTTTTTATATATCTTTTTAGTGAATTATCTTGATATTATTTAGGAAAATACAGGGTTTTCTTGCTTGATGATAAACTGTTCAGATATAATTGCATTATCTTCTAAGACAAACCCAAACGTTATAACATCAGTGTTATTGTGTTAATTTGGAACTTTTAATATTACGATTGATGAAAATGATCATGCACTTTCATATAATACGGTAATACTTAAATTATAGATAAGTAGTAAATTACATCAATCGTAATAATTTTTTTGGTGGTGATACAAGACTTTGTTGTTTTTTATAATACGAGATTGAGTTAAATCATTTTATGTGTGGTACAATGTTCAAAATGTTTAGAGAATCGACTTAAATTCAAAAAAAATATTTAAATTGAAAGTTCGTTAGTGAAAAATTAGGTTTTAACGAAAAATAAATAAATAAATAAATAAATTTCGAAAAAAAAAAATTTTTTTTTTTGTCCAAAAAAATGAGTCGTGGCTCGTGATTATAAATTTACAATTAAATTTCTTATCTAACAATGATTTATTTATAGAATAATAAAAGTAATAAATTTATATTTTAAATAGTTAAAAATAATCAAATTATTATTAAAAGACAATCTAATTTTATCATTTCACTGCGCCATCATTTTTTTCTCGAAAAGCTTATATCCTTCCATTTCAAATTTCAACTAATCTAAATTCCGCACTATTTGGGTTCAAATTACCGAAAATAGTGATGACAATAGCTGATTAGCCGTCTCAGAAAGTTTATTTGTGTATGAAAAAGTTTGTAAATCATATAAAGCATAATAATATATTATACATTCAGAATCATTAGAAGTAATCAGTAGGACAAACCAGCCATTTGATTTTAGAAAAAATTTACTGCGACGAGTAAATTTGTGTAACAATACCAAGTCCTCCCATGACATCCCAAAGTGAACAATTTTTGAACTTTGGAAGAGACTTTTGAAACGAATAAATCATAATTTATGCATGCATTAAGATTACATTGATATAATAAATATTATTTCCAAGAAATATTCTTTCTCTAAATCAATATTTGTTCTTTTTTTGAAACTCATAAAAGGAAATACATTACGATAATTCCTTGAGAAGATTAGAAGATATACACATTGATCAATATGATCATCAAAAAACAATTTACTCTAAAATTAGAAAATTATGAATATCGAAAAAGCGCCACATTATGTAATGCAGTAAAAAAGTAATAACTTATTTGTAACAATAATTTTTTTATTTTTTGTTGACCTAAAAATAATTGTCATGATCACGTGATCGACAATAGGCGTGATCTCGTATTACATGACACACATTACACATTAGTGTTTTTCCTTGCAGATCATCAATTTCAAAACGGCAATAATTAATAATAATTAATGATAGTTCGTCCCAAACATTATCAAATGAGAAAAAAAATCACGATCGATTTAATAATCATTTTTATTTTTAAATTTTAATTTTCATTTACAATAAATGACTGATTTCAAGGATATATAATTAGTCATTATTTTAAAAATCTGTTAACGTTAACGCTATAATATAAAAATTTAATTAATAAATACTAGTGCAAGTAATAAAAAAAAAATGTCATATTGATGAGAATGATGGAAACGCAAAAATTTTTTAGTCTGGTTAACTAAATATATACAATAACTAAATATACATTACTGTATATTACAGTATTTTAAAGTTAAACGTAGTGGGTTAGCCTATAATTACCATTTAATGATAAACCATAAGCTTTTATTTGGCTTTTATTAAAAAAAAAAAATAATAATAACAATAAACTAGCAAATTAAATCCTCAATAAGAATTTCGTATTATAAAGAAAAATAAGGATTAAAAAATAATGTATATTCTCCATTTAAAATAAACCTATATATGACCTTCTTTTCTCTAAATTATTGCCGTTTTCAGAAATGTTGACAATCTGAAATTTTGACCATTTTATACCGAACACACCGAACACACCGAACACACCGTGAACACATACAAAAAATTATGCAAACTTGAAGTATTCATGCATAACTTTATATAAAAACTATTTTTGTCATTTTTTAGATATGAATACAATTGAAAATATGAAAATTTGTACCGAACACACACCGAACACAAACGAACACACCGAACACACCAAACATTGGCAAATACAAGCAAATACAAGTGAATACATATATGTAAATAATATAATTTTTATACATTTTTTTATGCACACTACCTAAAAATATATTACTAAAGTTTTAATTTTGTTTTTTTTAAAGGAAAATTTGTTTTTTTTTTAATTTTAATTGCTGTGTTCAGTGGGTGTTCGGTGTGTGTTCGGTATGTTCGATTTATAGAAATGATCGACATTCTAATGCCAACATTTCTGAAAACGGCAATAAATAAAGAATTATGGACAGATTTTCAACTTCTTAATTTGAATTTAAACTCACGTTCCTTGAAAGTATATTTCTAATATAATAAGCTACGAATGTTATAAAATTCTTTATTTCTGAATGATTTACTGTATAATTAATTACATTTAAAATCGAATTCTCAGTATTCGGCTTTAACACTTATTTTGAATTTGAATTATAATTCTTGAATTAAATCAAATAATATTTTAATTAGTTCCACAAATGATAATTAAGTAAATAAACTAGTGATGGAACTGTTAGAAGGTCCAGAGCGTCTCGGTTCTAGTTAATATATAAAAATTACCAAAAAAGGCGCGAAAAAAAACATGTTCCTAATAAATATTGTAGTTTATAGCGTTCATAGTAAAATAATTTAAATACATCTAAAATTAATTAAAAGTTAGTATTTAAATCAGCTATTAATCAATTATCAGGAATTTCGAATTCTTGATTATTGTAAATTTCATCATCTAAAAATAAATTTAATAATTGTATGTTATTGGGCGTGACTTAATAATGGTATGATGTGGCGCGAAGCGCCACATCAGATCATTATATTAATATCCAGACCAGAATGACCATCATATTAATTAAAACCTCATAAGCTTTATATTAAATTAATATATTTTATTGTGTAATTTTTTTATACACATTCTTTTTATTAACTTTCATATGTCTAATAGGTACATTATTATTTATTTCATTTTTTAGGCTTATATCTAGATCGGTGATAGTTAAACGCAATTTTTATTTTGAGTAATTCTCACTAATTTGCCTATCATTTGCCGATCATTATTAGGATTTTAGATCGGTGATACAATCAAAATAAATATATTGTTTTATTATTAAAACATTTTTATTGTTATAACTCATTAATCCTGTTGCAACACAACAGATTGCAGCTTCAGGATTAATTTTGATATAATTAATTTAATAATTACCATCAGGAATTTCAAATTCTTTTTGTTCCTCCGGATGAAAATTTGGATTAATATATATTTCATCATTATCTAGAAAATTAAAATATTGTTTATTTAATACAATTATTTCTGAACTTGTACTTGATTTATTCAAATTATTATTTTTTTTAGTTTTTTTAAATACTCTAAATATTTTTAAGAGTTTTTTAATGATATTATTACTATCATCATTTGGCACATTACGATAACATAATCTGTTAATTTCTTTTATCATATTTCCAATAGTTCTAATACTGGGTCTTTTTGCCGGATCAGCATCCCAACATTGCTCCATTAATCTTTTATATTTTAAGGGAGTTCCTGATATAATCTTTGGTCTCATACCGTTAACAATATCCATTGCAAGACTATAATTATGTTCACAATTAGTAAAAGGTGGTCGTCCAGATGAAATTTCCCACATTATCATTGCAATACTGTATATATCAGTTGCAAAAGTGTATTCTTTTCCAGCAATAACTTCTCGTGCAATATAAGGAAGATTTCCATATACACTCCTAAATGGTTTATCAGGAGTTCCACAAAGTCAAAGATCACTGATGAGCCAAAAATTATTGTGTTTTGAATATAATATGTTTCCTGAATGTACTGTAGATCTCTATGAATTGCATTTTCATATTGAATACTAATAGGAAACGGGAACCGTTGTAAGTCCGGAGCGAAAAACTAAAATTTGTGATTTCATTGGGTGACGATCACGTGGCGGACAGAGAAATTCACGGGATCGATTTTTTTTTCATAGTGCGTAGACATATATTTGTCCTTCGCTTCGCTCCGGACAATAAAGTGCATTAATTATATCAGCAATAATTTTAATTCTTTCTTTCCAAGTAAGCTGATTATGATTACATCGTAAAAATTCTCTTAATTTTGTATCCAATTTTCTCATTACAAGCACATACTTTCCATCTGATGGATCTTGAGTTAACCCGTAACATTGTACTATTACTGTCCATTTGTTAGATATAGTTAGGTGAGATTTGGCTTACAATATATTTAGAATATTATCATTGTATATTATTTTTATTTCAAAATATTCAAATTACTACATACCTCATCAAACCAACAGCACCTTCAACATTTTCTAACTTTTTAAGTATTACTTTCCTAGTAGTTTTGGATATTTTTAGTTGCTGTTTCTCAGAATTCCATCGTTTATATCTTTCCACCAATCCAATCTGCTGTATAAATTTCAGAAAAACCACCTTTGGTTAGATATTCAATATTTCGTAAATTATTATATGGAATCCATTCAATTATCTTGTTAGGAGCAGTTGAGTTTATTTGCACTTTTGAATTAAATCATTAACATCATTATTTCCAGATGTCCAATTTGAAAATTTTGATTTTAAATAATTTCTAATGCAATATTCACAATATGACTTTGCTAAGCAATTTTCTTTACAAACTTCACAAAATCTTCTTTTTCCTTCATTATAACGGATTTTACTACTATCATAATCTTTATTTAATTTTTTTATTCCTTCTAATTTTTCATTCTTTGTAAGGGATTTATCAGCAAGAATAGCTCGTTTTCTAAATTTATGTCGTTTATCTATATCGTCATGTATATTATAATCAGTTAATACATATGCTTTTTGAATTGCAGCCCAAACCAATTCTTTTCGAATAGTTGACATGATAATTTGGGCAAAATTTTTTAAATTTGCTTAAAATATAATTTTATAAATTAAAAAAAAAGAATTAAAATTAAAAAACACTCTAAAGTTTGTTTCACAATCTGCAATGTGCATAATATTCATATTTTCCAAATTGGTTTGAATCAATAATATAAGAGGCGTTTATGTTGGCCGTGTCGGCCGGAGGCTGATACAGCCCCTGCCCAATAACTTATTTATTGTGGCGTGATCATAAGGACCGAGCCATGTATTATGATCGAGTGATCGACGTCAAAAATGTCAAATCATTCCTAATAGACTGCCTCAACATGGAATGCTGATATTGCGCCATAACATTCAACTACTAGAGGAAGTACAAAACTATCATACAAATTGGAAACTATTTATTAATATTGACAAATTTATTCATGAAGATCAACATTATTAAAATAACAACAGAAATATATATAATATTATACCGACCAATATATAACCAAAATAATATTTCTTAGCCTACGAATAGAATTTTAAAGAAAATGTAGTAAATGTGAAAATTGTATACGTCATGTAAAAAATTATAAACATTACGCAGTAAGAGCTTATTGTAGCAAGACATCATTTGCCAAAAATTTTTTAACATATTTTGCAAATTCAACTTTGAATAATATAGTCCAAAAATAATTATAAATGTGAAAAAAAAAACAATATTTTTTATGTGATTGCAAATATGTGTTTAATAATAGTTTCATAAATATTAATAGAAATAGACAATATAGATTCAAATAATTAAGTTACAGTATATATTCTTTATACTCTCATTTTTTGTACATGTAATCAATTCAAGCGATATTTGAGATATTTGATTGATTTTTTTTTGTTATTTTATTCATCTAAACAAAAAAGAAAAAAAAAATTGTACCTAATTATTAAGCATATGATCGACATTCCGAGTCAAATCCGGATGCTTTTATCAATTGTGCCCAGATCGACAATTGTGCTTAAAAGTTTATCCGAAAGCCGACAATAAATAAATATGCACGCCAATTTATGTTACGTCATAAACCAAATTTCTCAAACTCTTTCCATTAAATTGTTAAAATTTGAGTGTCCTGCTAAAATGTTACAATTTCCTATCGATTGCCTTAATGATATTATTGAATATTTAGAGGATGAATCAAATACTTTGTATTCATGCTTATTAGTCAGCCGAAACTGGTGTAAAATTTCCGTCAGAATTTACTGGAGATATATTAGAAATCTTAGTACTTTAATCGCTTGCCTTCCAAATGATTCAAAAGAAATTTTATATAATAATGGAATTTCAATTTCAACTTCAAAAACTCCAGTGTTTAATTATGCATCATTTTGTAAATATCTGGAAGTTCGTAAAGTTATTAAAGATATTGAGCACTTTCTTAGAATACAAGATATTTCAGTTCAAAATTTAAATGATATCACAATTATAGTGTTGCAGGAAATATTCAAATTACTTATGTGTCAGACTTCTTCTTTAAGAGAATTAAGATATACATTAACAAATTTGACATCGATAACTTTTACATCATATCCTGGGGCGAGAGAATGTTTAAAGAATCTCTCAACATTAAGTTGTTCTTCAAATATTCATCCTGAATTTTTTTATAAGTTATCCAAAATATGTCAAACAAGTATACATACACTAAGCATAATACTCAATGAATTAATTTCAAACGGATTAGCAGATTTAATTTCTTCTCTGCAAAATTTAAGGCACTTGAAAGTGTATCAGCATAAATATGGTGTAGATTTGACAGATATAAATACTTTGATATCAAAATTTCCTAATTCTTTGATTACATTTAGTATCTATAGAGGAATGGAATGTTTTTTCAAGGCTGTAATACCATTATCATTTATTGCTAGATTCACAAATTTACAAGAACTTGTATTCATATTTTCCAGTAACGAATCTTATGAAGGTTTTAATAAATTACAATATGTTGTTTTTCCGCAGTTACAAAATTTAAAATTTTACGTGGAATGTCCAGAGAATGAATTATTAATAAAATTCTTGGAAAATAATGGAAAAAAACTAAAAGAATTTTATGTTAAAAGTAATGATAATTCATTAAATTTAGCGATAATCAAGTTCTGTCCAAACCTTAGAAATCTTACTATTAGAATTGAAGATAATGAATTAGAAATATTAGAAACGATTCTTATTAGTTGCAAATATCTGGAAAGTATTAGAATTTTTGGTTACAAATATTACAATAAGAAAGGGTTAACTGAAATTATTATGAAATATTCGTCCAATATAAAATTATTTCTTTGATAGCTAGTATATCTTGAAGAATATTAGAAATAATTTATTACTAATTATTAATAAGCAATTTCTTATTCACATTTTTGTATCATATCTCCATTATGGTCATATTTATTGTACGTGTTTCATTGTCATCAACTAAATAAATCAAAACTATATTTGGTTACTTTAAATTAATCATTTTCAAACGATTAACCATGTAGATAGTTCAATATATTTTTTTGATAGGAATGTCGATCATTTTGGCTAAAATTAACGATACTTTTGGCCAAAATGATCGACATCCGAGTCAAATCCGGATTCTTTTATCAATTTGTGCCATCAATAATTGTGCTTAAAAATTTATCCGAAAACCGATAAATTCTGCAACATAAATAAATATGCACGCCAATTTATGTTACGTCATGAACCAAATTTCTCAAACTCTTTCCCATTAAATTGTTAAAATTTGAGTGTCCTGCTAAAATGTTACAATTTCCTATCGATTGCCTTAATAATATTATTGAATGTTTAGAGGATGATTCAAATACTTTGTATTCATGCTTATTAGTCAACCGAAGCTGGTGTAAAATTTCCGTCAGAATTTACTGGAGATATATTAGAAATCTTAGTACTTTAATCGCTTGCCTTTCAAATGATTCAAAAGAAATTTAATATAATAATGGAATTTCAATTTCAACTTCAAAAACTCCAGTGTTTAATTATGCATCATTTTGTAAATATCTGGAAGTTCATAACGTTATTAAAAATATTAAGCTCTTTCTTAGAAAACAAAAATCTATTTTAGTTCAAAATTTAAATGATATCACAATTATAGTATTACAGGAAATATTCAAATTACTTATGTGTCAGATTTCTTCTTTAAGAGAATTAAAATATACATTAACAAATTTGACATCAATAACTTTTACATCATATCCTGGGGCGAGAGATTGTTTGAAGAATTTATCAACATTAAGTTGCTATTCAAATATTTATCCTGAATTTTTTTATCATTTATCTAAAATATGTCAAACAACTATACATACACTAAGAATAATATTCAATGAATCCATTTCAAATGGATTAGCAGATTTGATTTCTTCTCTGCAAAATTTAAGGCACTTGAAAGTGTGTCTGCATAAATATGGTGTAGATTTGACGGATATAAATACTTTGATATCAAAATTTCCTAATTCTTTGATTACACTTCGTATCTATGGAGGAATAAAATGTTATTTCAAGGCGGTAATACCATTATCATTTATTGCTAGATTCACAAATTTACAAGAACTTGTATTCATATTTTACAGTAACGAATATTATGAAGGTTTTAATAAATTACAATATGTTGTTTTTCCGCAGTTACGAAGTTTAAACATTTATATGAAATGTCCAGAAAATGAATTATTAAAAAAATTCTTGGAAAATAATGGAAAAAATCTAAAAGAATTTTATGTTAAAAGTAATGATAATTCATTAAATTTAGCGATAGTCAAGTTCTGTCCAAACCTTAGAAATCTTTCTATTAGAATTGAAGATAATGAATTAGAAATATTAGAAACGATTCTTATTAGTTGCAAATATCTGGAAAGCATTAGAATTTTTGGTTACAAGTATTACAATAAGAAAGGCTTAACTGAAATTATTATGAAATATTCGTCCAAAATAAAATTATTTCTTTAGTAGCTAGCTATTATTAGTACTAGTATATCTTAAATGTGTAATTATTAATAAATAGTAATAAATTATTTTTATTATTCTTCTTGTATCATATCCATTATGGTCATATTTACTGTACGTATTTCATTGGAGTGGTCATCAACTAAATAAATCAAAACTATATTTGGTCACTTTAATTTTAATCATTTTCAAGCGATTAACCAAATAAATATTTTTTTATATCTGAGCGGATTGGAGGTTAGAAAGCATGGGTTGAAATTGAAAGATACACTTCATGTTTTATTTATTTATATTATAATAATAATTTTATTATAATTTTTAAACTCGAGTCCGAAGCGGATTCAACTTTAGAGTCTGTGATCATACTTTTTTAGATGCACATCAAGAAAAGAGGAACATTTTTTGTTACACAAAAAAATTCGATAATATACTGACTACCCAGTGTTTCATGTGACAATTACTATTCAATTGAAAAGCAAGATAAATAAAGGTAAGCTTACTGTATATTTCGCCGTGTTGATCAATGATGTTTCTGACTTAATTTATAATGTACAATACAGCACTTTTGTTTAATGACGCAGTGTATATACTTTTAGATAGGATCAGGGGATAATGCAAGTCTGCAAGTTTATTTGGCCATTTCATAACAAATTTATTTCATTTTAATTAGTGAATCGTCAATCGTGGGATGATAAATTACGTGCGTGATCACACTTTTTATAAAAAAAACTGAGTATTCAACCATTATATGATTATTACTAGCACGTACTAAAATATCAAAATTTGTTTATTTCTATTAATCATTCTATTTCTAAAAAATGAATTAATATTTACAATGACTATAATTATCGCTCACTAGGAATATTTACTAAAAATTATATATTATTATAATTTTGTTGATGAAGAAAAATAGCGAAATAAATTTTACTAAAAATGCAATTTTACACTTACTTATTAATTTTCTGAATGTTGGAATATCATTATGTTGCATTTTTAATGTGATCAAGCTGCATTTTAACGAATAATTATAATTAAAAACCAATCTTCGCGCGGATTCTTTATGAATAGACCAAAAAATGGTTATAGACAGATGTAATAAGACTTAGATGTTAATGTAAGTTTGTAGATATAATATTTTCAAATAAGGGTAATTTATTCAATTTACATGATAATATTTATATTTTATTGATTGTTTATACATAGTAAAATATTTATTCAAATTAATTTTCACAATGTACTTTAAATACAGTATGAATAAAATATTATTGACAATTAAAAATCTTTTTTTCCTCACAAATTTAAACAACAAAGCCGAATTTAAAAAAAAATAAGATATTTAGACTGTCGAAAATCAATTAGATGACGACCATCATAATTTAAACGTAGTAATTCCCAGAAAATTTAGAGTAAGTTGCTTTAAGAAACATTTATATAGAAAAGATTCAATAGCGCACGAAAATAATAAAAGATTATAGAAAGAAAGTATTTAGATACATTACAAACAGTCAAATAATAAATATCAACTAAATAAATATCCAGTAAATATCCCATAAAAAATATTTAAGTAAATAATTTAAAAAATTAGTATTTAAAAACAGTTATTGAAACTATATTAATCAACCATCATGAATTTCGAATTCTTGTTCTTCTGGAGGTAGATAGATTATTATAAATTTCATCATCTATAAATAAATTGAATAATAAGTTATACTGACAGTTATATTATTTTTCTAATTCTTGCTTCTCTATTTTGATTTATGATTTTTATTTCACAATTATTTTGATTATCTAATATTAAATTATTAATTAAAATATTTTCTTTGATAAAAAATACACATAATACTTAGTACTTACTACTATTCCTATATTTTCAATATAAGATTAATATATTTGCGATTTTTTAAAAAAATTATAACTTATACTTAACTATGAAATTACTAATTGATATATTGAAGTCATCAAATAAAGAAAGAGAATTTGGAATTATAATTCCAGTATAATTATAGTATCGACAGAAACATAGTAAATGATAATGCTTAAAATAGTAACAAAAAGAAAATGTTTCCTGACTAATAAATAAAATAATAATAATTTACTTAATATTTATTTCAAATATATAGTAAAAATGGAAATTTCAATTAATGTGCAAATTGACCATGTCATGTATAAAACAAAGAAAATAAAAATAATAAATAATTAAAATATGTACAGTGGTGAGCAAAATTATTTGGAAAACTTTAAAGTAAATTTACTCAACAACCAGTGATTATATTTGCAATTGGTTTAATATATTTAAAAGTGTAATTCCATGAGATTTAAACTATATACAATTAAAAAATTATCCTCTCTCCCTTTACCCTAATAATTTCCTCGTAACTTAATTTTATCAATTTAATAAAATATTTATATTTTTATTAGAAATAATATTTCATTCCTTCCTTAACGTTCAACATTCCGAATTTAATGGTTTTCATATTCTTAGGTTTCTGTTAATAAGCTTTTACAGTTTTTTGACCAGGTTTTAATGTATTATTTTTAACTATCCAACGGTGATGAAAATATTTTTTAATTATATGCCTAAAAAGTAAAAATTATTATTATTCGTTTCTAATACTTTTCAGCTAAATTATTGGTCATTATCATAAAATTCTACCTAATGTATTGGCTTATAATATTTTTTGCGATATTTGTGTCATTTTTAGTTGATTTTTACTAGGGTTTTAAGCCATATCTTCCCATCCTCCTATTGTTTCGAAACTTTTTAAACCATAATAGTATGAAGTTAAATTTCACTCAAATACTGCACTTCTTAACCCATAATTATAAATTTATTTTTTTGCTATCATTTTTCAATAAAATCTTTTTATTTCAGAGTTATTTTTCTTATTTGGAGATGTACAGCGTTGAAGTATATTGCAATTTGATCTGCAAATTTTTAACAAGCAACCTACACTTGACTGAAGTCACGTGAAATTTTCCAAAAAATTTTACTCACGACTGTAATAAAAAATAGAAATAATATATAATAAATTCAAATAATTAAATTAAATTGCAGTAAATATTTTTTTGTGCATTCATTTTGGTACATACAATTAATTTAAAATATTTTCGTTATTAATTTTTTTTTATCTTAAAAAATATTAAGACAGAAAGTAACTTGTACTTAATTTTCGGGAATACTTTAAAAATATTTGTAATTAAATAACAAAGTTTCAGTGACCATCATACTTGTAAATTTTATCGCTCGTACGAGAATTTTTTTATTTTTTTTAATCGCAAAAAAAAAACGGATAAATGGATCGACAATTGTGCTTAAAAGTTTATCCGAAAGCCGGAATATTATGTCATCATCACAATAAATAGTTATGCATGCCAATTAATCACGCCATAATTGCGATTCACACGCTCTTTCTATTATATTGTTTTAAAAGTCTGAAAATTCTATAATTCTATTAAAATGCTAAATTTTTCTGTCGATTGCCTTAACGATATTATTGAGTGTTTAGAGAATGATCCAAAGACTTTGTATTCATGCTTATTAGTTAATCGAATTTGGTGTAAAGTTTCTGTCAGAATTTACTGGAGAAATATTAGAAATCTTAATACTTTAATCGCTTGCCTTCCGAATGATTCAAAAAAAATTTTACATAATAATGGAATTTCAATTTCAACTTCAAAAACTCCAGTGTTTAATTATGCATCATTTTGTAAATATTTGGAAGTTCATAAAGTTATTAACAATGTTGGACATTTTCTTCAGAAATGGGAATCTCCAAATTTAAGCAATGATATAACTATGTTGTCACAGGAAATATTCAAATTACTTATGTGTCAGATTTCTTCTTTAAGAGAAATAACATTCATAAAAACGGCGTCAATAATTTTTACATCATATCCTGGAGCAAAAAATTGTTTAAAGTATCTCACAAAATTATACTGTAATTCAAATATTTATCCTGGATTTTTTCATCTGTTATCTCAAGTATGTCATACTATACAGATTTTAAGGATAGTTGTATTCAATGAAGTCACTTCAAATGATTTGGCAAATTTAATTTCTGTTCAGCCTAATTTAAAGCACTTTTATGTGACTCAATCTAGTGATATTGTAGATTTGACAGATATAATCGCTTTAGTAGCAAAGAATACTAATTCTTTGACTAAATTTTTTATCCGTGGAAATTTAAGACGTGTTCCTATACCATTATCAACTATTGCTAGATTCACAAATTTACAAAAACTTGAATTTAAAATTATTATTAACAGATATCATGAGGATTTTAATGAACTACAATACGTTATTTTTCCGAGGTTACAAAGTTTGATATTTAGTTTAAGATGTCCAAAGAATGAAATATTAATAAAATTCTTGGAAAATAATGGTAAAAATTTAAAAGAATTTTGTGCAAGATCATATGGTTTATATGATAATTCATTAGATTTAGCAATAGCGAAGTTCTGTCCAAATCTTAGAAATCTTTCTATTAGAATTGAACATGATGTATTAGAAACATTAAAATTGTTTCTTGTTAGTTGTCAATATTTGGAAAGTTTACGAGTTTTTGATGATAGATATCCATATGTAAATACAGATGATATATCTGAGAAAATTATGAAATATTCACCTAAATTAAAATTACATTTTTGTTTGTAGTATGTACCTTAAGACCGTTCCAACTTGATTGTTGTTTAACGTCCAGATTTTTGAGGGAGAGGAGGGTTTTCATTAAACAAATTAAATGAAATAAATGGGAAAATTTGGGAAATTTAAGAAAAAATTAGGGTGGCATTATATAGTTATTAAAATTTATATTTCTAAAAAGATAGAGGGGATTGGGTACTTTAAACAAACGATCAAGTTGGAACGGCCTAAATGTGAATAAGAAATTTGAATATTAATAAATAACAAATTATTCTATTATACTATACTATATCTTTATATTTACTGTACGCGGTTTTTTTTTTTCCTCAAAAGACAATTATTAAATAAAAATTTAATATCATGTACGGTATAGTACTTTTGTTTAATGATACGGTATTAGGGATGGGAAAATAATGGTTAATTATAAATTTGGTCAATTAACTGGTTAATTAACGACTGGTTAATTAACGGTTAATTAACAGTTAATTGACCTATAGTTAATAATTAAATGAGGGTAGCAAGTTCATTTCAAAACATAATTTTATGATAAATCACACTTTTTATAAAAAATTTCGTAAGTAAATTTAATGTATCATTAAGGAGTATAAGAGTATTCGATCATTATGATAAATCGGTTAGTTTACAGCAGGCAGCCATTTCACCGACATGAAATTAACCGATATTATTTTGTTGACTTCCATGAAAAATTATCTAGCTTCATTTCACTGAAATGACATTTTACCAACATAAAAATTACCCGATTTGCCATCCCACCAAAAAATTTATAAATCATCAATTGGATGAGACTTACTTATTACTGCCTTAATTTCAAATTATTTGATCGTGATAATCGCTCTCTTAATTTTTTTAATGGGAATTGCTCAAACCATTTCTTTATTTATAATCAATAAAGAATAATTTATTGCTTTTAGAAAAATTGTAGGCTTCAAATTGCAGTTAATTAATTTATTTCTTTTTTATTATTTACATATATATTATTAGGAATTGTATGAGTTAGGTCGTGACCCACCGTCATCTTTTAGTGTTGGTCCTATCGATGATGATCTTTTTCCACTGGCGTCAATTATGGGTCCCGTAAGTAATATTTTACCACTTTTTTAAACTTCATGTGTAAAGATTACAATAACTTTCGCTTGTATGTTACGGTATAATTTGCATTAAAGTAATACTTCATACTCTGGAGGTATATTTTATCTTTGATATTTGTCATCCTAGTGATTATCCATTCAAACCACCAAAGGTATACTTTTCCTTGTATAGTTATTTAATAGCATGATTTACTCAATTTATTAAGAATCTACAATCTGGATATTACTGATAATGGAAGTATAGACGTGGATTCCTTAAGAGACCAATGATCACCAGCAATTACCAACAATAATATGTGGAATTTTTATTATATTTATAAAAAAAAATATTAATCAAATCTTTTATTTTATCAAGTAATCTCGGAAATTTGTCAATTGTTGAGAGATCCAAACCCAGGTATTATAATTCACTTTTTTACATTCATTACTTTATTGAATGATCTGATTAATTTCAACTAAAAAATAATTTATCAATAAATTAGAATGTGATATAATGCCCGAAATATCTCAATTGTACAAGACTGATCGTAATCGTTATGAAGCTACTGTTAGGGAATGGACTCGTAAATATGCTAATGAGACATTATAAGATTTTTTCTTTATTTGACATTTTATTATTTAAATTTTATTATCTAAACCGTACATGTCCCACTAATGTCTTACTTTAAATATATTATTCTTAAATTTAAATGTAATTATTGATCAAATATATCTCAAATATCTTAGTATAAAAAAAAGTTATTGAATATTTAAATGAGTGGAAAATAAATAAGCTTCCAATCTCCATATAAAATGTGGAATTTATATATTACTCATTATCAAGCTGATTAATCTATAGATAGCTATGTTATTTAAAAGTAGATTGTAAGTGAGGCGCAGCCTAAAAAACTATCAACGTTTATTATGAATATATAGAAAGTAAGTAACGAAAATTGGCAAAGTAAGTAACGTAAAGTCACATGATCTATTACGTTACTTCTCTTATAAAGGTACGGAACGTAAATTTTTTTGGTAAATAAAAAATCTTTTCACGTCGATCCTCTGACCAAAAATTTTGCTAAAGAATAGTTACTACTAAACTTGTGTTTTTTTACTATCAAACCTCCACATTTTATTGGAAAATTGAACTCTACGACGTGAAATATACTAACTACATGGCGCATAATACTCGCTCCAAGAACTCTAGAAAAATGACTCAAAAAACTCAATTTGACAACCATAACAACCTCTCAGACGAAGAAATTGCTGCTGAAACCTATGGCACTAATAAAGAACCTTCTCCTTCAAGGCAACCAACAAAAAAAGCTAAAACTGATACCATAGTTTCAGCTCCTTCATCTCCTACTAATAACAAAAATAATATGGACATCGACATTAATAACGAAAAAGAACATCTACTTTCCTCAGAAAAAGATGTTACGTCACGTGACTCTCATGCAGAAGATCATCAAACACCAATTGTTAACGAACAAAAATTTGAATATTTCACAACATGCATCTGACAACAACAATGATGTAACTACACGAAGTGTAGACATTTTTAAGGAATACACTTCACGCTCAGATAGTCAATTTATATTTTTCTTCACGAAAAACCAATTTGACGCCCAAAAAACTAACAACGAAATTGTTAATGATATGAAAAATCAATTAAGGTAATAGCCATCATAATTTAAATTGTTACAATTCCCAGAAAATTTATAGTAAATTTTTTTAAAAAATATTTATATAGTAAGATTCAAATAGCATACGCAAATAACAAAGACAAAATTGTTCCATATACTATGTAAAAGGGAAATATTTAAGAAACAATTAAAAATATATTCTTAATATATAATAGGATGTCAAATAAATATTCTACACAGAATTTTTAAATATAATTAATTTATTTAAATTACAAACTAAGAATAATATGATATTCTAATCTTAGTGTTTAAATAAATCTAAGAAAAAATAAAAAATAATAAATATATAATAATGTAATGTCATAATAATAGATATTGTAGTTTATAGTGAAATAATTCACATGCTAAATAAACGTAGTAAGTTAAACAAGTAGACAATATGCCAATGGATACTTGATACCCTCACAGTTTATGATAACAGGTCTGTTTAAAATCCATCTAAAATAATTGATAATTAGTATTAAAAATAGATTATTGAAATTATTTTGTTATAAAGAAATTTATTTACCATCAGGAATTTCGAAATCTTGTTCTTCTGGATGTAGATTTGGATTATTATAAATTTCATCATTATCTAAAATAAATTTAATGATCAGTTATACAATTAATGTTATTTATCTAATAAATTTGTAAACATTTACTTACCATCAATATCTTGCTTCTTCACTTGTTGTTTTATGATTTTTCTTTCACAATTATTTTGATAACTATTTTGATTATCTAATAAATATAATTAAATTAATAAAATATTTATTTTAATAAAAAATACACATATAATTACTTACTATCATCTGATCCTATGTGTAGTTTTTGAAATACTTTAGACAATACTTTACTATTTCCTATATTTTCAACACAAGATTAATATATTTTGTGGTTTTAAACAAAAATGAAATAATTAATACTTACTTCTAAAAATACTATTTGTTGTCGATGTACTATCATTATTTTTATTATTTGATATATTGAAATCATCAACTATAAAAAAAAACGATTTGGAATTATATACTCAGTATACTATAAGAAATCATAATAACTAAATAAAACACTTACTATTTTCAGGAATATTAAAACTATAAGATTTACTATGATATGCTTTTAAATAAAATAATTAAATAAATATAGTAATAAAAAATTATTTGAATTTTAAAGAAATGTTTATAATACTAAAATATATACCTTCTTGTTCTTCTATATTTTTTAAAATATTAATAAATAATTAATTAGTTTAAAATTAAACAATATTTAATAAATAAAAAATTAAAATATACCTTCAGTTGCATTTCTTGGTTCAGGTAAATCATCAAATTGATAGATTTTACTTACTGATAATTTGCTGCTTGCATAATAACAACTCATTATTTCAAAGCTACTCATTTTATCTAAATTATTAGTTTTTTTAATTTTTTCTAAGAATTTACTAAAAATATTTGTATTATCATTTGGTATGATTTGATAATATAATTTATTAATTTCATTTATTTTACTTAAAAATGTTTTGATGTTAGGCCTTTTTGTTGGATCAGCATCCCAACATTGTTCCATTAATTCTTTATATTTTAAAGGAGTTCCTGATATAACCTTTGGTCTCATACCATTAACAATATCCATTGCAAGATTATAATCCTTTTCATAATTAGTAAATGGTGGTTGTCCAGATGAAATTTCCCACATTATCATTGAAATACTATATATATCAGATGCAAAAGTATATCCTTTTCCAACTATAACTTCTGGTGCAATATAAGAAAGATTTCCATATATACTTCCCAATGGTTGATCAGCGGGCCCACAGAATCCAAGATCACTAATATGCCAAATATTACTATGCTGACTATATAATATATTTCCTGAATGTAAATCTCTATGAATTGCATTTTCTACATGGATCATCCTAAGTGCATAACTTACACGAGTTACAATATAAATTCTCTCTCTCCATGTAAGTTTGTTGTGATTTTGTTGTATATATTCTCTTAAATTTATATCCAATTTTTTCATTACAAGCATGTAATTTCCGTTTGGTTGATCTTGAGTTAAACCATAACATTGTACTATTGATGACGTTTTGTTAGTTATAGTTAGGTGAGATTTAGCCTACAAAATATTTAAATGTGTTATAATATATATTATTTTTATTTCAAGATTTTTTTATATTACTTACCTCATCAAACCAACTTCTATTAGCACTTTCAATATTTTCCAACTTTTTAAGTACTACTTTCCTAATAGTATTAGATAGTATTAGTTGTTGTTGCTCAGGATTCCAATTTTTATATCTACTACCAATCCAATCTGCTGTGTAAATGTCAGCACAACCACCTCTAGTTAGAAATTCAATATTTTGAAAATTATTATATGGAATCCATTCAACTATCATGTCAGGAGCACGTGATTCCATTTGACATTTCTTAATTAGATCATCAATATCATTATTTCCAGACGTCCAATTTGAGAATTTCGTTTTTAAATAATTTCTAATACAATATTCACAATATAATGTTGCTAAACATTCCTCTTTACAGACTTCACAAATTCTTCTTTTTCCTTTGTTATAACGAATATTTATTCTGTCATATTGCTCATTTAAATTTTTTATTGCTACTGATTTTTCATTTTTTGTAAGGGATTTATCAGCAAGAATAGTTTGTATTCTAAATTCAAGTCGTTTGTACATATCATCGTAAACATTACGATCAGTTAATGTATATGCTTTATTCATTGCAGTGAAAATCGATCGTTCTCGAATACTTGACATAATTGTTGGATAAAAATTTATAGTTCTATTTAAAATAAATTTGAAAAAAAGGTTTTTTAGAAATAAGAAATTTTTTTTCTTCAAATTTTTACGGATTTTTAACCCGAAGTTTGTTTCACTAATCTACAATATGCACATATGGGCCGATTTGACGCATCATACCAAATAGTAACCAATTCCCATTTACTATGAAATTATCACATGCAATGCGTCAAATCACCCCATACGATAAATTACATTGTGCATCACAACATTCGAGGAAGTACAAACATTCTTTTTCATTTATTTTTATATATATATATTTTTTTTTATATGATAAAATTATGACTGTCAGTAAATGTATATTAATAATCGTTTCATAAATATTAATAAACTGAACAAATTATATTAAAAATTGTAATTAAAAATAGAAATAAATTCAAAACAATTAATTAAATTACAAGAAAATATTTTTTTTTGTATTCAATTTTTGTACGTTTAATTAATTCAAATAAATAATATTTTTTTAAACTATTTTCGTTACTAATATTTTTTATCTTTAAAAAATTTTCAAGAATACTTAAAAGAAACTTTTTTCCGCCACTCATTAATAAATAAGTTAGACTCGAAAAAAAAATTTTTTTTTTTTTTTTTTTTGAATAATAATGGGCTGATGGAGGCAGGACAATTAGCCCATATAAGGTAATTAAGGTTTTTATCCATATAAGGTTGATAAGGATATAAGCTTTGATGATCACCTGAGTGGGTACCAGTGATCATCATCATACTTGTCACTGATGTCACTCGTAAGTCGTAACCATTGTAACCAATGTAACCAAGTGACGAAGAAAAAAAGTAATGACGGATAAATGGATCGACAATTGTGCTTAAAAGTTTACCCGAAAGCCGAATAATTTTACGTCACCGTTACTCAATGAATTAAATACGTCAAATTAATTACGCCAAAATGTAATCCGATTCTCGCATTCTTTCCCCTTAAAAATGATAGAATTTCCTATCGATTGCTTTAATGATATTGTTGAATTTTTAGAGGATGATTTAAATACTTTTTATTCATGTTTATTAGTCAATCGAAATTGGTGTAAATTTTTTGTCAAAATTTATTGGAAACATATTAGAAATCTTGATACTTTAATTTCTTGTCTTCCAAATGATTCAAAAGAAATTTTGTATAATAATGGAATTTTAATTTCAACATCAAAAACTCCATTATTTAATTATGCATCATTTTGTAAATATTTAGAAGTTTATAAAATTATTGACAATGTTAAAGAATTTCTTCAGAATCGACAATCTACAAAATTAAAAAATTTAAACAAAGATACAATTACGTTATCACGAGAAATTTTCAAATTACTTATGTGTCAAATTTCTTCTTTGAGAGAATTAGCATGTGCATTTACATTTATAAATCCGACATCAATAAATCTTATATCATATCCTGGAGCAATAGATTGTTTAAAGAATCTCTCAATGTTATATATTTATTCAAGTATTGATCCTGAATTTCTTTATCAGTTATCCAAAATATGTAAAACTATACATACACTAAGAATAGGATTCAATGGAATTATTTCAAATGGATTAACAGACTTGATTTCTGCTCAACAATATCTAAGGCACTTGTATATGGATCAATATAAAAGTTATCAAAATTTTACAGATATAATTACTTTGTTAGAAAGAATTCCTAATTCTTTGATTAAATTTAGTATCTACGGAGGAATAAGCGTGATTGCTATACCATTATCATTTATCGCTAGATTCACAAATTTACGAGAACTTGTATTTACATTTTATAGTAACGAATTTTATAAAGATTTTAATAGATTACAATACTCTATTTTCCCGCAGTTACAAAGTTTGAGATTTAGTATGAAATGTCCAAGGAATGAATTATTAATAAAATTCTTGGAAAATAATGGTAAAAATTTAAAAGAACTTTATGTCAAAGGTAATTATAATTATTATTCATTAAATTTAGCCATAATCGAACTCTGTCCAAATCTTAGAAATCTTTCTATTAGAATTAATTATGATGAGTTTAAAACATTAGAATTGATTCTTATCAATTGTCAATATTTAGAAAGTATTGAAGTTTTTGGTGAAAATTATTTAAGTATAAATATAAAAGATATATCTGAGAAAGTTAAGAAATATTCACCTAAAATAAAACTAATTTTTAGTGAAATGAGAAATTGAAATTTTACAGTAAATTAAATAGAAACAAATTATTTTTAATATATTAAAATATTATATGGAATTATTGGAATTATATTTTATTATTTTTATTATTTTATTGTATTTACGTATTATATATACAGTATATATATATATATATTCTCATAGACAATTATTATTTATTCGTTAAGCAAATAATATTGATAAATAAATGTAAATGTTTATAGTATTTATTTATAATTGTTTAAATGTACTTTGTTTAATTATTGCAGTATATAATGCATTATTACTAATAAAATCAGAAATGATTCAGAGATTGTAGAAAGTAAACCTTATAAGAACATAATCAAAGAAGAATAACTAATTTATTAAATTGCTTTATGCTGTCGTCGTTATTATTGAAAAGGGCAGGTTTTCACAATAATATTCACTTTTCGTCCTATTAGTAGAAGTTATAAGGGTTTGATAATTGAAAAGGTATTAAAAAATTAAGTCAAAATTACAATAATTTATATTTAAGGTTACGACAAAAAATATACTGTATATATCTTGTAATAACTCAAGTTCTTCCTAAATGTACACCTTGTTTTTTAGTAATTTGCCATGATTTATTGCGTTCTTTTGTTTGAATCAATTTGCGTTACTCATAATTTTTGTTTCTGATGGAGCGCGCAACTTCATTGATACAGCATATTTTTTTTCTAATATTCTTTTTTAAAATAGATCATTAAGGGGCCAAGATAATTAATGGGCCAAGAATAACGTCCAAGTATCAATGTGTTCATGTGTACTACAGTTATTTAAATAAAATTGATTCTAAATATAATGATTTTTATTATTCAATAGAAATGGTAATGATTTAATGTAAATTTCTTAATCTTCTCCTTAATTGTATACTAGTATTTAAATTATTTGCGCTTATTATAGAAAGATAGCTGTAAAATACTCCTTCACATGGAATTAATTTATATATTAATCGTAATACTTAATTATGTAAATTTTTTTACAAGTGTTGAACGAAGAAAATAATCACCACTTTATTAATTAACTTTTAATATACCATTAACATCACGTCGGATTGATAATTATAATTCACACTAGCATTAAAATAAATCAATATTAATTTATGAATACCATAATATAATATATTGTACAAACGTCAAAATGTATTGACTCACTAGCATGTTGCCGTGTCCACTCACGAGCTGTAGCTTCATAACGAGAGCGATCAGTCTTATACATTTGAGCAATTTCAGGTTCAAATGTAAATTCTAATACTAAAAAAAAAAAAAAAATTTAGCCAATTTTTTTTAAAAGGGAAAAGGATCGCAAATGAGAAAAAAAGTATATTTAAATAAAGTATATACCTGGATTTGGATTTGCCAATAATGAACTTATTGATAATAACACTTGAAGGTGAAAAAAAGGAGATACTGTATTAATAAACGTTTACTTTCCTAAAGAATCCATATAAGAATAACCAAAAACCCTTATTAATAATAAAATAAATTACATTTTGAAATGGTCATTGCTGGAGACCATTGATGAATCAAGTGATCTATGCCTATATTTCCATTACTATCGATATTCGGATGATAAACTCTTGTAGTGAAATTTATCTTTGATTGAGTATGAAGTTTATTGAGATTATACGTTAAAAATATGTAAAATTATATAATAAAATATAAAAAAAAATACCTTTGGTGGTTTAAATGGATAATTTTGAGGGAAACGAACATCAAGAAAAAATATTCCACCTGAATATGGAGAGTCAGACTTATTCAAATTATAATATTGATGAGTTAATATTAGTTTGTAAAAAATAAAAATATATAATAACATACTGGACCCGAAATTGTCGCTATCCAATGAAATGGATCATCTCCAAGAGGTCCAGCATTGATAGATGATGATACTGAGTCACGTTCAAAATTGTTCAATTCCTAATAACATTAGAAAAACCGCACGAAAATAAGCGTTTTAACGCTAAACTTTTTTTTGGCATATTTAAAAGGTCAACGACTTTTTTTCCTTTTAAACTTACTACGTTAATTCTTTTAAGCGATTTATTAATATTATTATTCATTTCGTTGAAAAAAAAATAAAGGGAGAGAAAAGTAATTTATATATTAATACAATGGAGAGAATATATAAGAAAGAAACTCGTGATCAACAAATTAAAGCATATGATTCTTCCCTTTCGAAGTATGAGTTTTTTTATATTACACGACTTACTAAGACGGATTAGGAAATCAAAGTTCACATGACTTGTGATTTATGTCGTACCAATTTTCTAAAACTTAATAACAAAGCCCATTTGATCAATGATCATCAAGAAACAAAAAAACATGTAATTTATACTATTATTGAAATACAGGTCACATGCAAAAATATTTACACACAATTCGAATTAATTGTATTTGTTTATTATATTATCGTTTTTAGGCTACAAAAAAGATATTTGTTTTTTGTTTCCAATTTAATATCTAAAAAAGCAATCATGATCGACGTAAAATTGCGTAAATTGATTAACAATAAAAGAAGTATTTTAAATTCTACTCCTAATTAATGTTATTATCATAACTTTATAGGTAAAAATATTTTCTATTTTAATTTACCATTTTCTCTCTAGTTTCATTTACTTGACCTCGCTCATTAATTCGCTCATAATTCGTTACAAAAATTTTATAAGTCATTTGTTATATTTATGATACGTGATACGTTCATAAAGTGATTTACTAATTTTTATTGAAATGAATTATATCGTCAAGTTTAAATCCACATTCAGTAGTTAAAAGAATTTGCTTGATAATCCAAATTTAGATAATCTTTATTCATATTCATTCCTAAAAACTTACATTTATAAATGAAATTTTAAATCGTTTATTCGACGAAAAATAACAATGTTTTAGTTTAATAATACATAATGAAGCCTAAGCGATAATATTCAAGAAATAAGTAATTGGTTAACAGAAAAAATTTTCTTTAAAAAAAAATTTTATTTTTTTATATGAATAAATAAACACAAAAAACTGACAAATACATGTAATGTTACAGCAGAGAATATAGTGATTTACAGAATAATGATAGAGAACTATTCAAATGTTTTGTTTGCTGGACATAAAAATTCTATTTGTCTCTGAATAATTTTTCTGCGGACAGGACGATGACCATGCAAATCTTTCCTTTTAGATAATTTCGGGTGAAAAATCTATTATTTTTTTTTTGGATATCGACTGAAATTATCATAATTCCGGTCCTGAAAAATTTTGCAGCGTCACTAAATAATAAATATTGAGGAAAGTAAAAAAAAAAAAAATTCTTAATTACTTTAATCGTCATGTCAACTATTCGAAATATTATGCAATACCTTACTAACTTGTGAGAATTTCAAAATGTAATTATCGCGTCTATTTATTCTGAAATTTCTGGCGTTCTAATTCTTCAGTAATACTTTCTATAGCAATTTTATTACCTTTTTCCTGGAATACTTTATTCAAGTGGTCTAACAATATAGTTCTTGAACATTCTCTTCTTTTTTTATTTATTTTAATCGTTGCTTCATCATCTTCGTCTCTTAAAATAATATTTATCGGGGGATTGTCCACATAAACAATATTTTGACGTATTTTAGCAACTGCTTCATTCTGTTCACACAAATCTTCTTTGCATTTGTCTTCATTTTTAAAATTACTAAATTTAGTTCTCACAATAGTAATATGTTCATGAATATCATTGCCAAAGATAGCTTCCACTTCATCTGCCGTGATTTTTCCATCAATAACAAATAAAATTTGGCATATCTCTTTTATTTTTTCCGGTAATTTTATTATATTCTTAATTGGCTTAGTTACTACATTGTATTTCTTTTCGATCTTTCCAGCGCTTTCCTCGTAATAATGAGAATCACTCAGAACTTCAGCTAATGTGGATTTACCACTATTGGTGCGACCAACTATTATCAAATTCCTAATTCCTAATTTTAGATTATCAAATTCGTAAATTTTATCATAGTATTTTTCTGAGATTACTTTATTCAAGTGGTCTAGCAATATAGTTCTTGACTGCTCTCTTCTTCTTTTATTAACTATAACTGTTTCCCTGTCGTCTTCATCATGAACAAAAATATTTATCGGGGGATTGTCTATATGGACGATACTTTTACATAATTTGGCAACTGTTTCGTTTTTATTATACAAATCATCTTTATCTTTTTTGCATTCTTTTTCATTTTTAAAGTCACTAAATTTAGTTCTCACAATAGTGGTATATTCAGCGATATCGTTTCCAAAAATGGAATCTTCAAGCAAGTTAAACGTACTTTCTTCTGCCGTAAATTTTCCGTCAATCACAAATAATATTTGACTTATTCCTTCCGGTATCAAATAATTTACTTCTGATATTTTTTCAAACTTAACTTCCTTATTAGTTAACGCCATTCTAATGTCATTAACTACATGATATTTAATTCCTTCCCATTCAAAAATTTGTTTTCGGAAATTTTTAGAGTACTTATTTTCTTCAAAATCAACAGTATTACTTAATACATTGGACAATGTGGATTTACCACTACCTGCATGACCAATTATTAATAAATTCCTGGGATCTAATTGATTATTGAGTTTAATCAAAGTATAGCTGATTATTAGTAAATTCTTAATTTCTGAGAACATGTAATAAATTCACATAATTAATAATAAAAATCATTGTTATTAATCATATTATACTTACTTAGGAAATTGGTAGAAATATGAAAGCCATAACTATTATCAACACTCGGGTTAGTTTCGTCAGGTTGCGGAGATGGTAGATAAGAAAAATCCTCAGTACTTAATTGACTTAAGATTGTATATACTTCTACAGTATCGAGTCTTGACTTTGGTTCACCATTCCAACATTTTTCATAAAGTTCTTGATACTTTGGAGGTGTACCTTCAATTGGTTTTTCTCTTTCATCATTTTGTATGTAATGATTAACTAGATCTTGTGAACAACCAGAAAAAGGAGGATGCCCACTTGAAATTTCCCATAATAAAACACCTAAACTATAGATATCGGACTTTTTATCTTTTTTATAATATGTTTTATTAAAGCACAGTGGTTCAATATATCCAATTATTCCCATTTTATTAGCTACAGAACCAGTTTTAGCATCTGCCAACTTTTTGGATAATCCAAAGTCTGCAATTAACAATTTTCCTTTATTCACTAATATATTCTTTGAGTGCTATAAAATGATTGACAGTATTTATTAGTTATCATCAGACAAAATCATAAACAAAATATTATATTAATTATTACGTTACCAAGTCTCTATGAATTATTTCTTTGGAGTGTAAAAATTTCAATCCGCTAGTAATATCCAATGCCATCTTAATTTTATCATTCCAATTCAAAGTAGCAAATTTTTCTTCCAAATAATCCTTTAAATTTCCATCATTAGCGTATTCCAACACCAAAATATAATCCTTAGGACCTATTAATTTAAATATAAATAAGTTAGATTGAAACTGTATAATAAAACTATTTAAAAAAATTCTTTACAAACCTTTCGTTATTCCCAGCAAACCATTGATGTTTGGATGAGAACCAATCTCGTGAAGAAGGTTTAACTAAAAAAAAAAAGATAAAATAAAATTAATTTTATTTTATTATATAAATATACAAAGCTAATACTGTACAACATAAAAGAGTGGTCCCTACCTCTTTGGTAAATTCATCATCGGCTTCATTTATTTTCTCTTTTGAGCTTCTATTAACAATAATTTTTAGTGCGATTTTCATATCACCTTTGTTCGCTTTAAATACTTGACCAAAATTTCCACTATCAAGATCAGTGATTTCACTAAATTCATCATATTCAAAATAAGGAATAGACCCATTCGTTATTTTTTCTTCAATCCATTCTTTTATTAATTTCATTTTATCTTCTAAATTATAATAGTGAAAACTTATTTATTTTTATTTATTTCATATATTTATTTTATTTTTTTTTAAAAAAAAAAAAATTTTATTGAATCATGGGGTATTTTATTTATTTTAAATAAGCCCTTTAATGCATTATGATGCAATTGATGCATGCACAGATGATGTGTTTGTATCTTTGGAGCTACAACGTACAGTGTGTAACGAAAAAATTGCGGTTGGAAAAAAATTGGATATGGAATTCATATGAAAGCTATCAATTATAATATTAAATAAATAAAAATTATTAAGTGTTATATTAAATTTTTATAAACTAATTTATTTTTTAAAATTTTTTTTAAAAAAAAACATTGTCAATGAATTTTAATTACCGTAGTAAAATTATTTAAGTAGAATATCTTAACAACTAGTAATTCAAATTGGGTAAAATTTTTAATATACTATAAAATAGGTATTTTAAAATAAAAGAAAAATTTCGAGATTATTTGGCCAACTGGTTAAAAATCATGATACCGAAAATATGGCAAGCCGAGTTGGACAAAATTATCAGACATTGTGCGGTAAAAAACAAAGCATGGCTAGAATAAAATGTTACACCGTGCCTGACATTTTACCTGTTTATGCTTGATTTTCATCTGTCCCGTGTTTGATATTTATCTGTACGTATCTGTTCATGCTTGATGTTTATCTATCACGTGCTTCGTGCTTGATGTTTTCTCCGTACATGCTTGATATTTTTTATTTGTTCATGCTTGATGTTTATCTATCATGTGCTTGATGTTTTATCTGTACATGCTTGATGTTTTATCTCTACATGATGCTTGATGTTTTTATCTGTTCGTGCTTGGTATTTTTATCTGTCCGTGCTTGAGGTTTTATCTATCTGTACTTGATGTTTTTATCCAACTGTATTTGATTTTAATTTTATCTTGTCAAAAATTAGTTTCTTTGTCAGCACTAGGGATGGCAACGGTCATGATTATTAACTGGTCATGACCGGTTATGACCGTGACCAATATCGGTTGGTCAAAAGCTTCTGACTGACTGTTTAACCGACCAGTTTGACCGACCGTTTGACTGACCATTTAACCGACCGTTTAACCGATTATTTGGCCTTTTTTTAATTATTTAGCCTTTTTTACGAACTTAATCAATAAAAAAAAGCTAAATAGCATTTTTTTTTGATTAAATTACACTTTCTTCTTTTTAACGAATTTTAATTAAGAAAAAATGTTAAAAAGTGATTGGTTAAACGGTCGGTTAAACAGTCGGTTAAACGGTCAGAAAAATGGTCAGCCAAAATGGTCGGTCAGTCAAAGGCCCTTAACCGGTTATGACTGACTGATAACTGACTGTGACCGACCGTTGCCATCCCTAGTCAGCACAGGGTTCACAGGGTTGATATTTTTTAGCGTAGTTTTAAAAAAATTTTTTTTTTTTTAAATTTTACACAAATAATTTTTTTTTGTTGGCTTTTTTTTATAAACAAATTTTGTGGAGAATTTTTATTTTTAATATATATAGGCAAAGGCTTTTTTTGATAAAATTCTTTTGGAATTTTTTTTAATAAAAAGACTTCTTTTTTTGATAAAAAATTTTGTTAGAGAATTTTTTTTGATGTATAATTTCGTTAAAAAATTTAAATTTCATTGGAGAATTTTTTTTAATAAGATTTTTTTTTCGGACATATACCTAATTTGTTGGAACAATTTTTTTTAACAGGATTTTTTTTTTTGATAGAGAATTCATTGAGAATTGAGAA